TGTTCCCAGCAGGATGTTTTTCATCTCATCAGGAGTTTCCAAGGCTGTTTAGTGTTTCTATATATGCAAAACATACTTAAGTGCCCCGAAAAGACCTGCTAATTAAAAAAGCCTAGTAAAGTGGTCAGACAGACTGGAACTTGAGTATTATAGGTAAGAGGGAAGAAATGAAGGCTTGGAAACTATAATTTTTCTTTCTGTGGTAGCAGCAGAAGCAGCTGTTATAGGCTGAGCAAATTAAAGATGTGGCTGACAAAGCCAAAAGTCTGGAAACAAGACGTTGCAAAAACATAACAGCAAGTCATATGCACCCCACTTTTAAAAAGCCAAAAGTGCTGACCACTTCTTTTTCTCCCTCCCTTCCTGTTATCCTCGTCACTCACAAATATCCTCCAGTTGGTATCCTTCCAACCTTGCTCAACAGCTCTAATTTCCCACCCCCGTCTTGGGGAGTTAATAATTCCTCGGTCTTTCGACATGTGCTCCATCATAGTGGGAGTTGTCAGCAAACAAGAAAGTATACTTCTAAAGGAAGAACAGGTGAAATAACAAGAGATACTGTTGTTCTGTGCATTTATTTGTGCATGAGTTGTTCATCAAAAACGAAAAGAATTCGTCTAGTACTTAACAGTAATTATCACTCTTAGAGGGCAGCTTCAACTGCTCAGTAAAATCAGTGTCTAGACATAGAAAGTTCTGAAATCCAAAATCAGAAAAATTACTTCCTGTTTCTAGTTCGGTTACCCTCATTCTTTTTAAAAATCAGTTGAACCTGATTGTGCTATAAACAATGTGGATCTATACTGTTTTCCAGCTCTGAAAAGTGATGGAGGCTTAGTGAATTTTTGCAAATATATAGATACATTAAAAAAAAAAAACAAAAAAAACAAAACAAAACAAAACATAAAACCCAGGGAACTTAATCTTTCCTTATAGCTGGTTGGGCTATAGACCTCCTGTTAGAATAAACATTTTGCTTAGCTTTAAGGTCAGCGTTGTTGTGAATTGCAATTACTCTCAATTCACATTAGCATAAATCTGCATACTATTTTAGAGCTCAGATTTTACCTAATGAATGAATATCCTGTGATCTATTTCCTCCATGTCTGCTTGGACTCAAAGTAAACTCATCGATTCTGATCTGCAGCTGATGCATTTAAGTGCTGCCATTTCAACACTTCTCTAACAAAGTACTTCATTTTGCTGAATTGAAGCATTGCACTGGATTTGAGGCACACTGACAACTTATACAAGCAAATTAGATGCCCCGTTTCTTATCAGAAATGAAACAAATTTAACCTTTAAAGGTGGCATGGGGCCTTTTCCTGATGTCTTCACATGAAAACAAATAAGAGTGTCATTTAGCATTTCCATTCAAGTGAAAGAATGAGGGAACAGCAAAATAATTCTGAAGGTTAAACGTCATATTCGGTACCGTTTTGTTTTTGTTCCCTCCCTGTTGTGAGAGTGGGTATCGCAGGAGGTGCTCTGCCTCTCCTCCCACACTGCTTCCCTGCTTCATAAGCAGAAACCAGCTGTTGGTTTTTCAAGTCTAGCGGTTAGTTGACATTTACCATTAGTTGATGCTTTTCGTTCTATTGTAGCACGGAAAAGAGCTAAAAGTTTACTCTGAAGAGCGAAGATTAAATCTTTTCTTTTCTAATGCTCCTGCAGTGGAGGGGCCTGCCACCAAGGTTTAGTTGCATAAGGCGGGACAAAAAGATGAAGTGCTGCACCAAAGCAGACGACTGAGCAGTACTGGCTTTACTGTTGCTATTCTGTCCCACGGACAGCACTTCATTGCAACTCCTGATCAGCAGCACTGATGTTATTTCCTTCTCAGCCCCAGTCACTGAAGGATGTAGTGTAGAACACCGATTACGTTATTGATTTGACAAACTTGGCAGTGTACTTAGCAAATGCCATAAAAACCAAAAACTCCTGCATATATACTCATGATTCAGCAACTGATGTCAAAGGTGGCAGAAATGAGGAAGAGCTCTAAGACACCTCACAGAAAACATTGCATTTCTAGAGCGAGGAAAACATTAACCCAACTAAAACCTATGCTGAAAAGGCATCATATCCTGCAAGCAACGGCACTGCAACCGGGCTGTCCAACTTAATTGTAAAATAGACACAGATACTGATCTAAGCTTTGCATTTCTGAAATTTATCGCAAAAAAAACCCCACCGTTATGAATTTTAAATACACAAAGTTCACATAGCCAAGTGAAGATACAATACAGTGGTGTCACAACTGCTATTTCAATAACAGAGCACACTAAAATTATTTTCAGACAAATAGGTGTTTTGAATTCATACTGAAAATACAGAGCTGGCTCTTCTTAAAGGCAAGTTCATACACAAAAGAAGGTCATCTAATGAAGAAAATTCCCCCAAAATCAGGAATTTGAAACAAGTGACCTGTAGCCATTAACAGCCTACCGAAACCTTCAGTGGGAAATTAACCTCACAAGTTAGCCAGCAAGAAATACTATGTTTATTTAATGGTCTTCTACAGAGCAGAAAACCAGAGTATGTAGCCTTTTATCTGGTGATATTTACTAACAGAACTTTAAAGAGGCAATATTAACAGGACTGCTGTAGATATGAGAAGGAACTTGGAACGTGCAATTACTGGATGGCTCCGAACTTTATCTGATCTGCTTCAGAGCCACAGAAGAAAACCATCCCAGACAGCTCAGTACAGAGAGTGTCAGAAAATAACACTGTTTCTCTTCTAGGTCTAGGTCATTTGAAAACATACGTGACTAAGTATGATTTCTACCCCTACATCAAAGCTCTCAGGATTGAAGATCGTGCAGTCAGTTATAAAGCTCATACTGGCTCAACGTCCACAGAACTCAGTAGTGCAGCTGTTCACTGCACATGTTAAACAATCAAAGCTAAGAACTATAGAAATAAGCCAAACTAAAATCAAGGACCTGAAATGAAGAATTTCATATAGGCAACTAGAAAAGAATGGGAAAACAACCGTTCCTCCAAGTCAGCAAGCTGAAAGCATTAAGAGAAAAGCAGTTTGCCTCAAACCACATACAAGAGGGTCTTGAACATTACTTTTATTGTCTATTGTACTGATGGGGCACTAAATTTTTCTAAACAGTATCCTAATCACACTTGCAGCTCCAGCCAACAAACATCTGAATGCCACAGCAGCCTTTCAAGAGAAAGCTTCAGCGCTGTGAGGTGTTTAAAGAAAAACTGAAATGTTTCAAAGAGATCAAATACTCTTTGGTGTTACCTCCTCGTTCCCTCCAATTAGAAATGGAAAACATCTTTTCTGGAAATTAGACAGAACCTATTTTTAAAAATAAAGGAACTGAAGAAAAGAGAAGAAAAGCCCCAAACTTTAAATACTATGGAAATCCGCCTGGATGGAAAGCTGTATCTGTTTCTTTTTTGCAATATAGTCATTCAGAAATGCACCAAAAATATTTTGGTAATACTGAGAAAAAAAAACATTACTAAAAATGAAGTACATCTCAGGGGAACATGATCCAACCGTCACCTTTCTTTCCTCAGTGATGTAAACTTTAAAAAAATAATCAGACGTGTGTCAAAGTACATCTTTAAAAAAATCAATATCTTAGTATGCATACTAAATCTTTTGGAAGATTTTACTGACTGCATTTAGAAGTTGTACATCAAAAGAGATGCTGTAATAGCTACAATAAAACCAAGGTTTTACAAGTTTTTGTATGAACTGAAGGGAGGGATTCAGAGATTGATTTTTCTTCCATAAAGAGCCACTTTAGCGTTATTAACAGAATTCTCTCCTCCAGTTTGAGTCAGTTTTTGGGTTTTTTTTGTTTTGTTTTGTTTGTTTTTCAGCAGCACTCACATGAGAGGATTAATTCTAGTTTTCACCACACAGAAATAGAGCAAAACATCAGGTACACGTATGGCTGCACAGACAGCCAAATGGTTCTGTGCAAAGCTCAGTGGATTAAATACAAGAATTTTCCATTGCTCCAGCCACAACTAGCGTCTTTCTGTCCATACATGTACAGTTGTGACACTTAATTGCAAAGAATAATTGCTACATCTTTGCTATAGTCTTCTTCTTTACTAGACTGCATAAAAAAGGGATCTGTGTCTTACTGCATTTCAGAGAGAGAAAGAGAGAGAGAGAGAACTTTCAGCAAGCTTTTACTGTGTGTTATAAAGAGAGGTATGTCCACATTATTTTTATTTGCCTTTGGGGAAGGAGTTCATGGCAAATGAAAGAGGAGGAAAAGTCTTAGGCAGCAGTTGTTTTTCTTTTTTGCAGATAGATAGTAGTCTGATAGTTAAGACTTTCACAGAATATTGAAAACCCAGGTTTCCAGGCCTTTCTCCAAAACTAACAGGACTCGGACATTCCAGAGGCACACCAAAAACACCAGGCTATCAACCATTCTGGGACAGCAAGGGGTCTTTTTTCTTTTCTTCATGCAAAAGGCTTTCCCAGAAAAACGTCCATTGAAAAAAGGTTACTTCAAGATATCTTAAGTGATCCCCACAGGAGGAAAAACAGATTAAATTTTCAACCAGTTAGTTGCAGTCTTGTTTATGCCTGTAAACAAGAGGGAAAAACCTCTAGCTTAATGAGAAAAAAAAACAAACATTCTCTCTACAAAGTTCTAGTAATACCTTTAATCATATAACAAGCTTAATGCATTACATTAATTTGTTCAATTAACACAGTTGGACTTTAAGATCAAAAAGAGAAGAGAGAAGACTGTGATCCAACAAGTGTGTTATAAAAATACTGCTTAAGACATGCCAAGTATTATTTAATGTGTGAACCCCAACAAAAGGCTTCCCCCCTAAGACAGTTGGTGTTTTGTCTCCCTTTTTGTTATTTTTAAGTGGTCACATCAGTTCTACTGCTTTGTGAAACGCACTCTTGTTTCTTATTTCTGTGCATAATAGTTCTTAGGACACACTTTCTTGTGATGGTAATAGTTGAGAACAAACTATTTTACAGAAGATCACAAGCATCAGAAGATTGCTGTGTGGATGAAATACATGCTGGGCAGATCTATCATGGCAATAGTACACAAAACAATGCGATGCTTGGTATTCTTTCTGCTCAGAACGGGTCTCACATCAGGTAGAGTACACTAACTCACTTTCTTTGCTGTTGAATGACTTTTCCTAGCACCCTTCATTTCAATGCAGTTTATATTTTAAAGTTCTGGAGAGACTGCTGCAGCTGTGTAAGGGCCATGTAAAATGCAGCTGGAGAAAAAAGAGAAAGGCAACCACTTAGCGAGACCTCTATACCTTCCCTTCCTCACATAGCCAACTAAAGTCCATTATAATTAGTGCAGTATGAAGAAACTAGAAAGTGGCTAATCTAAAGCTATACAGTTGTAGCCTCATTTAGGAAATGCCTCCAGGCTTTCTCAAACATTTAGTAGTACAACTAGATCACAGAGCAAAGCTAATATTCAAATCTAAATACTCAAAAGGCATTAAAAAAAATCCTTTTCTGTGCATTATTAAGCCCACATTATCTTCTCTAACAAAGTGCTTCTAGGAATTTGAGAATCATCTTTTTTTTCTATCCTACAGGCTGAGCTGTATACTGTTGACAGTGACTACAAATGTGTGTTGCAATAATACGTCATCATGTGAGATCTAGGCCTTATTTCACTAGATCTCATTTATACAACTATGCACACACACACACACACACACACACACACGAATTTCAGAGTAGGTAGGTTATGAAGATTAGAAGTAATGGCCACAAATAGTTTGGAAACAGAAAAATGGTCCCTTGATTCCCAAAGGGATTGAAGCCTAAAGCACATTTCCTGCAACTCACGGTGATTCCTGTACACCGGAATATCACTCACAGCTGAGAGGACATAGGAAAGAATTGATAACACTGTGAATTTCAAAAGCTGAGTTTGGAGAGAATAAGTATGCAGCTTTTTCATCCTCCTGCTTTTATTTAAGCTAGCAGGGCTAAAAACATTAGCGTTTGGTTTACACTGGACAGTTCTGATTGAGGTAGATGGAAATGTCACTAGCCCAGCTATTCTGAAGCTTTCTTTACTAGATATTTTTTAAAAACAACGCAGATGGAGTGTAAGTCCTATCATTCATCTTTAAGGACAAAGTAAAGAGTAAATCTAAGGCTGGTATCATCAACATGCAATTCCAACCTTTAAACTAGGCCCTTCAGGTACCAGCGGAGCATGAACTGCAATGCAAGCTATAAATTCAGTTCTCGGGTGATGAATTTATGCTAGGTTTCCTATGATCATTGTTTATACTGAATTCAAGTTTTATTAAGCTTTTACTGCCCTGTAAGAACAGTCCCATGGAACAGCAGGAGAAACAACAGAGCTAAACACCTAAAAATGCTTCCGTAGGTGGTTTTTAATTCTCCTCTATATACACACTGAAATCTTGACTATAGTTAAAGAAACAAATTTGGTGAATAGAAGGTTTGGACCGTTAGTTTTGTTACCCCTTATGTTGCTTTAGGTACTAGATAATTCTTCCTTTGTGGGATTCAAGATGTCATTATTACACCCTCGAGCCTAAGTGCCAAATGATTTCCTTGCTGTCCAACAGCTTACAGCACCACACCACACAGCAGAACAGGAATTTGTGGAATCCAGTTCATGATGGCAGCTGGGACTGCACTGCTACATCAAGGAGGGAATTGAGCTCTCCTCAGAGTTTTAATAGTTTAAAGAACATACCCACAGCTTTTAGCAGAAAAGTAACAGCTATGTTGGTTTCCTGAAGAAACTGGAGTTCAAAACACTTATTAGAAAAAAAGTTGTCTAAGTGTATCATATGCTTGCATGCCATGAAGACAATCTGTACGTTCATTCTGAATTTAAAACTCAGTTGAGCATGGAGAATGATTTCATTTCACCGGTTATTCAGAAGTTACCTCTTAAATAGGAAATTAGTGCTATACCTAAACCATTTATTTTATTTTTGACAAACCTTTTTCGTGAGTAGAGATTTTTCATCAATTCATACCCTGATCTTAAAGTTTGCAACAACGTTAACCATTACTTCTCTTAAGTTGTCTTTTGTATTCATGTTGTCCCTTAGAGAGGTTTTGCAGCAATAATGGTAAGAAAATCTATTCACTTCCTTTTGACTGAATTGTGTTGTATGACAGGGAAGTGACTACTTGCAACCTTGATCCACACCAGCTAAATACAGCCAGGCAAGATCAAGTTTTTACCATAATGGTTCTCATACCCTCTTCTAGCTTTTTCCAAAACCCGAGCACACCATTAGACACGTTTCTTTTCCATACAGTTAAGTCACAGGATTGTGGCTTACTAAAAAAACTCATTCATCTCTGCTGATTCCTGTAGGACTATAGGCACCAGATTGTATTACTGTCATTTTTTTCCGACCAGCACATCTTCCTAGCACTTCTAACTGCTCTCAACTAAATTGTTACTTAATCCTTCAGCTTTTTAGTTTCTTGTATTAACTACTCACTTTACAAGAAACTGGTTTTGTTTTGTTTTCTGATGATTATGCTGTTACAGTAGTTTTCAGAGTACAGTTGAAGAGCACATTCAGTATTGCCTTAAAGACTGTAAATTTTCCATTTGGAGTCTCTGAAGTAATATCAGTAATAGATAACACCATGGTTAGGAGTCCAGTACTTGTTTTATGATCCTGATAACATAAATGACGTTGACAGAAATTAGTTCCTATGCTGTTCAGAAGCTGAATTTCACATCTGTTAACATGGGCAAAGATATGACCATTTCTGAAGTACTTTTCATTTCAAAGTTTGTTCACTTCCTAAAATCATCTGATAATTCTGCTCAGTCCAGCTGATCATTAGGAAGACCATTAAGATCAAGTATACGGAGAAAGTCGATGCAAATACGCTGCAAATTTTTCTTCACCATTTACTCTGAGTTTTCCCCTCAGAACAAGTAGGAACTTTAACAGGCAAAGATTACATCCACGAAATAAAAACACCAGACTTTTCTCTCCATGTCTGCAACACCTCAGAAGTACAAGCACTTTGGTTTGTGAGAAGATGTTAGGATATTCCTAAGCTTTCCAAGGCTCTTATTCTTACAGACACTTCCAGTAGTTTGAAAGAGTGCATTAAGCATAGGTGCTTAATTTCTAGGTAAATCCTGGTTTTCTGTGGTGTTCAAAAATGAGGCAAAAGTCCTCGCCTATCAACCGAACTGTTGTCAATATGGGTGCTATAAACCACCATTTTTCAAAAATCACAAGCAGAACTCTGGTACTCAGTCACTTCCAACAATATTTTCGGCATTTCACAAATACAAATTCGATGCTGTCAGCACAGTTACATGAGCTCATTTCATCTTGCATGGAAAGAGAGACCAAAAAAAAAAAAAAAAAGAAAAAGAAAAAGTTGACCTCATATTCACACGCCTGGACTGCATCTCAACGTAAGTAATGTGATTAACTGTGACCTATGTGCAGAGACAAGTCTGCAATCAGAATTTGGGAAGTTCAGCACATGAAGTCATACCTCTCAATATTGTATGTGCTTGATTTGTCAGTAGTTTGTCACTAGGCAGTTTTAATGACTATTAATAGACAGTGACAAAAAGCAATCACATTCATCACAAAGGATTTGATAATGATACCTGTGACATATCAAGGAAAAAAATCTAAGGTAGGAACTAGAAGTTCAAGAAATCTTATTTTACTGTTTATTTCTGTTGTGCTATCAAGCAAAAAAATGGAACAAAAAAGAGACTTAAGTACATTGGCAGGATAATAAAGGATTAAACTAGCAATAAATGTAAGAGGAATTTGCACTTCGGTTGAGGTAATCCCAGATATGCAAACAAAGTGGGAGAACTCCTTGAGAGTAGCCATGCTGAGAAGAACCGTAAGGGTTCTGGTTGATGAAAAACTTAACATGAACCAGCAGTGGCACCTGCAGCCCAGAATACCAATGGGACCCTGGGTTCCATCAGAAGAGGGGTGGCCAGCAGGGTAAGGGACGCGATTGTCCCCCTCTACTCTGCCTTTGTGGTGCCCCATCTGGAATACTGCATCCAAGTCTGGGTCCTCAACACAGGAAAGATGTGAAGCTGTTGGAGAGGGCTATGGAAATGATCAGAGAGCTGAAGCACCTCCCCTATGAAGACAGGCCGAGGGAACCAGGCTTGTTGAGTCTGGAAAAGAAAAGGCTACAGAGAAGCCTCATTGCTGCCTTCCAATATTTAAAGGGAGTTCATAAATATGAGGGAAATCAACTCTTCGCAAGGGCAGATAGTGAGAGGACAAGGGAGAATTGTGTTAAACTAAAGGAGAGGAGATTTAGCTTAGATGTCAGAGGGAAGTTTTTCACTGAGAGAGCGGTGAGGTGCTGAAACAGGTTGCCCAGATAGGTTGTAGATGCCCCATCCCTGGAGATGTTTAAGGCCAGATTGGATGAGGTCCTGGGAACTTGATATAGTGCTTGATCTAGCAGCTGGCAGCCCTGCCTGTGGGGGAAGGGAAGGGAAGTTGATCCTCCCTTTCAACCCAAGACATTCTGTGTTTCTATTAAAAAAAGAAAAGCCATGTTTTCACAAAACCTGTAGGCCCAAGACCCAAAACGTAGTTTTTTCACTCTATACACTTCTGAAAAACAACAGTAAATAAAACAATGATCTTTACAGGAAAGAAGATGGAAAGCCTTAGAGCATGCTACAAGATTACACCAGTTTCAATTTCTATTAGATGTTTATAAAAAACTTCACCTTTACAGATTTTGAGCAACCTGTTCTAGAGGGAGACATCCCTGCGTATAGCAGGGGGTTTAAAACTAGATTGATCTGAAAGGTCCCTCCCAACCCAGACCATTCTATGATTTATTACTTACAGGCATAGTTCTAGTTACAGTTCTTGGACTTCCGGACAAAGACATTTTATTTAAAGTCACTAAACATTTCTTTGAAGAGTTCCCTCTGCCTTCTACCAAAACTAAGAAGGACTGATTGCACTCATTCAGAGTGGTTTAACTTAAAAATTTCTTCACTCCTATTCAGAAGGGAAAAATCACAAGACAGCTGCTTTCACTTGGCCGCTATACCTTTGTTTATTTTTTTTTTTTATTTCTTTATTTTTTACAGT